AGGAAAAGCGACAGGGGGCAGGGGGGGGGGAGGGCGAAGACAAAAAAGAAGCAACCGCCACCGACAGGCCCACGTACCGAGAGGTTCAGCGAGAAGGACCGGACCTGCTGCACACGCCGCTTGCCGGTCAGATTCTCCGGGCGCAGGGGCGGCAGCGCCGGATCGAAGTAGTACCCCGGCGAGGCGGCCTGCCCGTCGGCCAGCGGCATGGCCGCCAGCCCCCCGGCCGGGCCTTCAACCGCCTCGACGAAATTCTCATCGTCGGAGTCCGAGTCGTCGAAGCCCAGGTCCGCGTCATCTTGGCTCATGTCCCCAGGAGCCGAATCGTCATCCTCAATGTCCCCCGAGGGATCTATCCCGTCAGACTGGTGAGCCGAGGTGGCGGCGGCGGTGACGGCGGCGGTGACGGCGGCGGTTGGCGACACAGCGCCGGTGACGGCCGACGCCGTGGCATCCTTTCGACCGGCCGACCCGCGGTCAAGTGGCACGTCTAGGCGGCGGACCGTGCGCTCGAAAAGAATCCCCGAGATGTCATACACCCGACAGGGGAAGCCATTTTGCAGGACATAATGCGGCTCGGCGTCGCTGGCCGGCCCGACCACCACTCGGCCGCCGGCCCCACGGAACCCACGAAACCACCCGCCAATCCGGCTGGCCATGCCCACTCGCGGGGGGCGCTCCACACAGGTCCACTGGTTCAGCAGGACCCGCGTGCAGGTGCGCTTCTTCCCCCGCAGCCGCCGGAGGTTCGTGCTGAAGATGTTGTTGTTTCGGAGCCGGTCCCGCTCGAGGTCCTCGAAATCCGGCAGCCGGGTGATGATTTGCTTGTCATGATCCACAAAGACGATGGAATTGCTGAATTGCGACCTCAAGCAAATGGACGTGTCGCAATGGGCAACTACCAGCCGGTGGCCCGTTCGGCGGGGGGGGGGGGGGGGGGGGGGGGGGGCGTGCGCGGATGGCGTGATGGCGCAGGGGGGGGAGGGGGAGGAGGGAGTGAGCCCGGCGCTGCAAATGCGGGAGGGGCGCAAAAAAGAAAAAAGGACCCAGCAGAAGGACCCGGCACGGAAGAGACAAAGGTCAAAGAGGAACAAACAACAGCGAGCCCGAGCCAGCCATGTCCCACACGCACTGACAATCGGATTGTCACTGTCCAGCACCGAATCGTCGCAATTGCCCAAGATGAAGAGACTCACATTGCCCCGCTCAACCGAATCGCCGGAAATGATGTTGCTGGCCGACACATTCAACCCGATGGCTGTCATGTCAATGCGCAGGGCCGAACCGATCTTCGTCAGGCGCAGGGTATCGCGCGGCGTCAGGCGGCCAAGCAGCGGCACGTGGGTCTTGAGGAGCCTGTGACGAGGGGAGAGAGAGAGAGAGGGGGGGGAGGGGGGGGGGGGAGGAAAGGAGGGAAGGAAAGGGGCAGGGAGTACGTGTCAGGAGCAGGCAAATGGTCGGGGGAAAGGGGGAAAAGGAAAAACAAACAGAGAGAGGCCCGGTGGAAGGGGGCACTCAAAAGGGGAGAGGACGGGGAAGGAGTTGTGGCGAGCCAAAAAAGAGAGGGACAAGCATACCAGTCGATCTCCACGGTGAAGTCCGGGATCTGGACAAACGGGTCATCGTCAGTGGCAATCGGGACACCACAGGGGAAGAGGGAGAGAGAGAGAGAGAAACGAAAAGAGAGAGGCCCAAGATCAGCCGCGCACGTCGGACATTTGGCTGATGAGATTCCGGATGGCCGGCGAGATCGGCATCGACCGGCCGCCGATCTTCTTGAAGCGGTGCTCCAGAATTCGACTCAAAGCATTGACATTATCCTGGCAAATGGCCTCGCTAAGGGGGGACCAGCCGTCCGGACATCTTTGAGCCATGTCCCGCGGTAGCCAGGAGGGAAGGAGGGCACCAAAAGGGAGGGAGTGTGTTTGCGCGCGCACGTGTGTGTGTGTGTGTGTGTGTGTGTGAGTGTGTGTAAGAGGGAGGGAGCAAGCAGGATGGCTGGCATGTCTTGAGAAATAGGACACCCAAAGGCAGGGCAAGGAAAGAGCGGTCCACAGGCCAGGCCACGCACTTGACCCGGGTCTCCGGGCTGCTCTGGCTGAACAGGGCAAAGAGACACTCCTCCCGATCGGGCAAGAGAACACACAGGTGCAGGGGGGTATACCCACGGAGATCGGGCTCGTCGATCCCCCCCGGGTCTTGGGGCTTGACGCCGCTGAGGATGGGCACCGGGCGACCCAACGGCAAGAGGGAGGAGGAGAAAGGGGGAAAGGGTGAGAAAGACAAGCGAGCGGAGACCCGGAGAGACAGGGAGGGACCCGGGCGTCGGGAAGACAAAGTCCCGAGAGCATGGCCCGAGGGCATGAACGCACCGGACACGAAGCAGGGTGATCATCGACCGGAGTGCCGTCACATTGTTGTCCCAGATGGCACTGTGAAGAGGGTACCGGCATCGGGCGGCTGCCGGTACCGATGACGACACTGACAGCTGGACACAGTAGTCCGGGTGCATTGGTAGCCGGAGGGAGGGGGTGCGCGCGCACACGCGCACAAAGAAGGCGGGAGGCTCGGCCTGGAAGTTGACGAGACAGGAACAGTAGCAAAGGCAGGGGAGAGGGGCCGGGAACAGGGAAGGTGTGGCAACGGGGGGCGGGGGGGGGGGGGGGGGAGAGGGAGAGCCGGGAAGGAAAGGGGGAGAAGACAAAGCCAGGCGGAGGGCCAGCAAGAAGGAGA